CTCTAATAAGAGTCTGGCCACCTTCTCCCCGGTTTGTGATTGGTCCGACATTAATCATCCATTCCCGCGAATTTCTTTAAATCTAAATTTGTAAAAATTAATAAATTCGTAAAAATTAAAGCAGAATCAATTACAATTTTTATTTTTATTATTATTAAACTTATATTAACATTATTAAATATTTTCTATAAAAATTTTTATGTAAAAGGACGTTGAAAAATTAAATGCATAATAAAAAATAATATTCCTTTAACGCATAATAGAAATAATTATTTATTTCTTTGGTATTTTTTAATACACAACAAAAATGTATTACGTATATTCCTTTAACGCATAATAAAAATAATTATTTCTTTAATACATAAAAAAATGATTTTTTTTATATTATTCCTTTCACGCATAATAAATTATTTCTTTTATATTATTTCTTTAACGCATAATAGAAATGTATTATTCCTCTTTTTTAACGCATAATAAAAATAATTATTACTTTACTTAAATGCATAATGAAAATACATCATAATTTTACTGAAATGTATGATGCATGGCCATGGATTTGCTGTCATAATACTTACGATTAGATACTGTTACACACACACACACACATTTTTACGTTTTTCAAATTTTAATCTTAGCGTGGCAAATTTTTTATACAATTTTGTACGCAAATTGTGACAATTTGGAATGTGATTTGCTGGAATAGCATTAAATTTTTCTAACAAAAAATTTTGTAAATTTACATTAGGCATCATGTGAAAATAAAGGCTGTAATGCCTATAAATATTTTCTAATTTTAAAAAAACTTTAAATGTTGATATGTTAACAAAAAATAATGTATTTGCATTATAACATTTAAGCCGAACTAGTTTACAAAACGTAAATTTCAATGGTTCTTTTGAACCAACAGATCGTATGCAATTAGAATATGTAATACATATATTTTTAACACTTTTTACACAATAACCTGCGATATTACCTATATAAGGAATTCATTTCCTTATTATTATAAATTATTGTTTTTTTAGGATCAAAAGAAGGAATGCTATTTAAAATCGTAGATGAAATAGATGTAGAATCAGATATTATATTATCTTTTGTACGATTTTTTGTTGAAGTTAAATATTCTAAAAAGCCAGTAAGATATTCATTGTCATCATATTCATAATTTCCTGTTCTTATTTCTTTCATATACATTGCTATAGCGATAAGTTTTAAATCATTTTTTAGTTGTAAACAATCTGGAATTACATTTTTGCGACGCAAAAGTGAATGTAAGTTCTCTATGCAATCTTGCGTGAACCGAGCAGTAAGTACAAATTGAAAATTACGATTTTCTAAGAGATATTGTACAAGATCAATAATCGATGTCGTAGAAAGTATTATTCCTCTTTGTATAGGTTTAAATATATCTTTCTTACCGATTTTTATTTTTTCAAAAAGAGCAATTATTTCACGTAAAAAAGTAATCACGTAAAAAAGTAAATTTTGTAATTTTAAAAAAGTAATACTCGAATCATATTTTTCTTTGTTTTTTAAACCTAAAGTTACACTACAGTTTCTCGAGGTCATTAATGAAAACCATTTTGATATATTTTTAACAAACCACGCAGATGTAAAAAATTCCGGGTTACTATTTTCGTCCGATAAAAATTCTAATGATGAACTAACATCTGTTGAAAACACATTCTTTGCTTTATTTACCCTCATTTTACTGAAAGTATTAGGATTTTTAATATCATTAATATTTAATCTGGGTGTTAAAAGGAAATCTAAATCTTCTTGAGATTTAATTAAATCAATAAAATGAGCAATTTCAACTTTGTTAGATGGTAAATTATACTTTATTACCACATTTTGGGGTAAGATAAAAAATGTATTATTTATTAACGATTCTTTTAGGTTCTTCAACAAATGTGGTACATCCGCAATAAAATATAAGCGCCTGTTAGGATCAGACGGATGTGGTATGTAATTTTTAAGTTCCGAAAACCGTCCCATATTTATTCCACAACATTTCCACAATTTCATGTTTCCAGGACCCATGTCGGAGGTTACAAAGTTAACGTGGAGATCAATTTTTTCAACTTTGTCTATTATCTGAAAAATTAAACCTTTTAAAACTTCTCCATCAAACGAATTACCCGTAAAGAAGTAACCTACAACATGTTTCCATCTACTAGCTGTATCTGTAATCATAAATGTTAAAACATATGTAGCAATACCTTTGTCATTAGGAAATGTTATATTTCCAAGCACTGTGTTTGTTGATGGATCAAAAATAGTTTTCAAAGTTATACTCATCTCGTCTAAAACTAATCCGCACTCTTTATCAATATCCTCGAATGAAGAAGCTTTAAATTTTAAAAACTCTAACATCTCATTTGAAATGCCACTTTCAAATTTAAAATTTTCTAATTTTCGACGTAAAGTGCGAAGGCTCGGAAATGGCATTCCTTGCTGAAGAAGTTCTTCGTAGCCAACAGTCCCACAAGTGAATTTTAGTTTTAGAGCTCGTTGAATTGTATCATTTGACCAACATTTTGCATTGCTTTTCTTTGCAAGTAGAACCTGGATTTGATTATCAGTAAATAGTTTCTCTAAAGCTACTTTGTACTTATCGTTATTAATTTTGTCTTGCAATAATCGATTTTTATATTTCATAATTTCAAATTTTCTGCGTAAGCGAATTAAACTCAGTTCTGTTGCTCTATATTTTTTGTAAGTATGTGATTCATTGCGTGTCAATGTATTAGGTCCGACATTTTCATCTATAGTCATCTATAAATATAAATCAACATAGCTATAAAGTATAAATTAACACATAACATAATATGATAATCGTAAATAATTTAAATATAATTAATTTCTAATAAATAAATTTAGATAGCTAAATAATCAAATAATTTGAAAGAACAACCGAAAACGGTCGATGTTAGATCTTAAATGTTATAAAATTCCTAAATATATAGGTATATATATATATATCAACTGTCTTCGGCCAAACTTTCAAATTATTTGATTTATAATTAAATTTTTTATTAATTTTTTCATCCCATACTTCTACATCCTGAATTTGATCTTGTACATCATCGTTTTCATATGTAAAGTCAAGAGATTCATTTATTACCTAAAATTATTATATAACATAATGTAATATTTGTAAATAAACAATAAAATGTAATTAATTTTCTACCAATTTTACTGTTCCATTTACTTACTTCAACATTCTGGACATTATCTTTTTCTTGAACATTTTGCATATCAGCTTTTTTAGATGTAGAATCAAGAGATTCATTTATTACCTAAAATTATTATATAACATAATGTAATATTTGTAAATAAATAATAAAATGTAATTAATTTTCTACCAATTTTACTGTTCCATTTACTTACTTCTACATTCTGGACATCTTTTTCTTGAACATTTTGCATATCAGCTTTTTTAGATGTGGAGTCGAGATATTCAGTTATCATCTATAGTTAATGCATAATGTAATGTAATATTTGTAAATAAGGAAAGAATGAAATATAATTAATTTTGCTATTCTATTACTTACTATTACTTCTTCATCTTGAACATCTTTTTCAGATGTAAAGTAAGAAATTTCATTTGTTAGATCTTCTATTACTTTTTCTTTTATGTAATAACCAAAAATAGTTGGTATTGCATTTGGTTTTAATTTTTTTTTGTCAGTTCTGTGTTCCCACATTTCAGGAGCAAAATGCACCTGTGTAATAAATAAAAATTAGTAACATAGTATTGTGATCACTATTTCTAACATATTATTTTTTATTTAAATATGACAGTTTAAACTTGAAGAATTAATCAAGTTAAAATAATATAATCTTACCTCGCATACATGACAATTATTTGTAGGCTCCCAATGTTCGCGATTTATTTTATGTATCCATTTAGCTCGACGTTCTGGATCTTTTGGGAGAATTTTCATACTATATCCCTTTTCAGAGGAATTATTGCAGAAGGGAACTGAGCACCAAACCATTTTCTTTCTTTTTTTTTTAGAAAAACGAATAATTGCGTCGTATCTACCACAATGAGACTTCTTCAGTTTCTTTTTCTAGATTTGCCTCAAATCCTCGAAAGCGAGGAAACATGGCTCGTACTATATATTGGATAGTCAAAACTATTAAAATCGGCACTTTTCAAAAATATAATACTTTCCTCAAAATGATACAAGTAATACTCGAGGCGAGATGAAACACGTCCGCCTCACCCGAGGGATCGTCAAAATGTCGTTCGTCAGAAACTATGAAGATTGTAGAGCTACAACTTACAGCGCCACTAGAATGAGATAGCATGATTTTTCTCTCTCGCACAATTTCGACGAATAATGGCGGACTTCACGTGGCCAGACTCTTATTAGAGGGTCTCTAGCCAGGACAACCTCACCGCTTTGACCGTCAGTGTACATCTTGGGTTTCTTTCTAGATAAGAGACTGTTGCGATATTTATAGATATTAAATCGGCTTTTGATAACGTCCTTCCGCATATCCTTTTACATGATCTCTACAACTTACAATTTCCTCCTCTTCTGGTATCTTTCATTTCCAACCTTATTTCCCATCGTACGGTCCAGTTCGTTTGTCAAGGCTCTATTTCGGCGCCTAGATCTTCATATAAAGGCACCCCTCAAGGTTCCGTACTCTCTCAGCCCCCCACGCTCTTCAATTTATACTTAAGAAACGTAAATGATGCACTCCATCCAGATACAGAACTTCTTCAATTCGCTGACGATATTGTCATCTTCTCAACTCATAAAGATACTAGGTCAGCTATCCTATCTGTCCAAACATCTCTTCAAGCATTGGAATTGTTTTTGCAAGAGCGCGGCCTTGAGATCTCTCTCCCTAAAACACAACTTATGATATTCTCGAACAAAAGATCTCCAACTCTCGCTAATTCTTCGATTTCTCTTCAAAACCAATATATCGTCCCTTCTTCTTCTGTTCGCTTCCTTGGGGTGCTACTCGATCCTAAGTTATCTGGCAAGGCTCATATGACATACACTATCAACAAAGGCAAGCGCATACTTCAGATCATTCAGGCACTTAGAGGTACCTGGTGGGGGGCCCACCCTCATATATTACTTACCATCTACAGAGCTATACTTAGAGCGTCTATCGAATACTCTGCACATATCTTTGGCTTGAAACATAATGGTCTTTCTCGCTCACTCCAAGTAGTTCAAAATCAAACTCTCCGCCTTTGTTATGGATACCGTATTTCCACGCCTCTAAATATCATCTACGCTGAGACGATTGAACTCACCCTATCTCACCGCATCCGTCTCCTTACATCACGTTATTTTCTCAAAATTTCATCTGT